AAAAAAGCCCACAACCACCGGAAGAAAGGAAATAGTAAAGATCAGAGCAGAAATAAATGAAATAGAGAACAGAAAAACAATAGAAAGAATCAACAAAAGAACATAATGCTCAAGGCAGACATTTTTTACTAGTTAAGCTAAACTATTGTTTGTTTTTAAGAAGACTTCTGGGGATAATTTTGGTTTAAGGTTTAAAGATTATCTCAGGGCAATAGTTTCCAGGGTTCATCCAGCCTCTGTGGCTCCAGAAAGACTGGAATCCATGAGAATATGAAATTCTGTTCTGCATTTTCTTCCTTTTGATCAGGATTTTTCTATAGAATCCTTGATCAAAATGTTCAGTAGTAGTAGCTGGGCACCATCCCTTCTGGTCTCATGGCAAATGTGGCAGATGTTCACGAAGGCAATTAGCCACACATTCCATATCCTCCGCCTATTCCTGACTCTCCTTCCTCTGTTGCTCCAGGAGAATTAAGAGTCCAATTGTTATGCCTTGGATGGCTGCTTGCAAGCTTTTAAGACCTCAGGCACTACCTAACATACTAGGAGGTAGAACAGAAGCACTAAACACATTATTAGGCAAATTAAACTATGAATGTGTTTTATGATCAACTTTCTAACTGTAATTTTTCATGGAATAAATAATAGAATTTTTTTTTCAGGAGGTGAAGGATGACTATATCAGGAAGGGCTTTGATGAGTTATCAGAATCAGTGCCTAGAACAGAGCGGGTAAGTACTCACTTAATATTTAACTAGTAAATTGAAACTGTTCAATTTTAAGGTAAAAATTCACTTGAAGAGATATTCTGTAAGAAATAAGCAAATGTCAAAGGGAAGTAGGAATGAGCAATGAAAATTATTTTCTGTGCTACATATATAAGTAAAATGCAGAATATTCAGTGTTTAAGCATTAAAAAGTAGAAGTGGGTATTATCTATACCTTCCACATTTTTAGCAATGTTCATTTTTCATTTTAAACGTCCTTCTATCTAAGTAACAACTGCTTTAACTGAAGCAAAAGATAAGGTGCTAATCCATGCATTTCTGGCCTTTCAAATTTAATTGGGTGACAAATGATTGCATTATCTAGTTCTAATTGCTTAAAAGGCATGTGATAGATCAGCTGTGCAACCAAAGATATCTTCTTACCTTGACATTTCTTCATCTGGTTCAATCATCACTTTTTCTGAAAAAGAAAAAAATCCATACCTCAGTACTTTATCAGTAGTGATGTTCATAATGTAAATTTCTGATAGGCAAATATTCTTTGTGAGACAGACAATAAAATAAAGAATTTAATTACTAAATCATTCCACAACACTCAACCATTCCAGTGGAATATCTTCTTGTATTCAGAACAAAATGGTGGCCAAACACATTCTTTTTAAGTGATAAAGTAGTTATTACCCTTTGGATCAAACACTAACAATCTGTCATACTGTCCATTTTTTGGTACCTACAATAAAAGCAGAAGTAAAAATAAGTATTATTATTATTTTAGCTTGAGGTATTTGAAATCATTTATTCATAGTCTTTAAACATGTCTATTATCTAGGCTAATATGTAATTTTATACTAAAGCCAATTATTCAAATATTATATATAGATGGTAAAATAGACCTAAGCATCCTAAAAAATAGTTTACATACTCTTTCTTACCTTTACAGCATCTGTCTTGTCTGGATACTTCCTGCTAGAAGACAATTATGTTTATTTTGCAAGTCTCTACAAAGTTATATAAACTTAAAATATAAACAAAACAAAATGCAGGAACTCAGTCTATCAGTGGAGTATTAAGTATGTATTTTGTTTTTGTACTTAGTAGCATTATTTCCATCCTAACTACAAATCATCATTATTCTGGATTATGAAATTAGTTTTAAAAATATCTAGAAAAATGAACTCTTCCTATTCCCTCCCATCTCACATTGGGGTTTATATAAAAAGAGCCATAGGAACAACTCTCCCAGGAAGAAAAACTGATATATTAAATAAACCTCTAATTCTGTTATCTTTTTGGTTTTACATAACTTGGACTCTAGATCTACATCACAAAATCATCAACAGCAAGCTAAGGACTGTCCTGTCCTGCTGAGCTGATCCTAGAAATACTAAGGTCAGCTTGGCTCATGTTTACAATACCACTTTTCTCCCTCACTTCAATAAATTAAAACACAATATGTAAATCAAACTATCTGTTGCATTCCATTTCAGTGGTGTCATGAAAAACACGTTTACAGGGTGTATGTGTGCCAGAACAGGATGACATTTTTCCATGATATTTCAGGATCTGGTATTTTCAATAAAGTATTATCTCAACAAATACATTTAGAAACTGAGCCTTGCTTTTATTAAAAGATACATTTTAAAATGTAATTCTTACCTTATAAATTCTCTCATGTGTTTATCAATACTTAAAAATTGTAATATTTTCTCTGTGAATTGCTATTTAAAATTTTTACCTTTCTTAACATTTATTCAACTAGAGGCTCTATTCTCCTGTAAATTAGCCCTTTAGTTGGATAAATTTCACTCTAATTATAAAGAGAAAAATCAACGCATGGATTTTTATTTGTTTGTTTTTTTTAAGTATGGAAGAGGCCAGACTTGAATTTTTCATAAATGGCAATCCACTTGTTCCCCCTCTAACACTTGTCTCCACATCCCAAGCCAGAGTTTAAAAATTATTATTATTGTACATACCCAGGGATTTCTGGAATACAAAATTCAGGGCCAAGACTGTAGATAGTAAAAGAAAAACTTCATTAGTTTGTATTAAGTTTTTCTCTTTTTAAATCCTTCTCAATCATACGCTTTTAAATGACTCCCAGTGATCAAACCATCCCACTCGGAGATTAGGCACAGGTGAAGCAGAATCACTTACACTCCCAAATAAAGTAGCAGTACCTAAATTTTTGCCTCAGGCTTTGGTTTCTGGGGAAACAAAACTAACTCTGACCAAGCCAGACACCATATATGTTATTAATTCAATATTCCCTCTGAGAGGCACACAGAAAGCTAAAGTCCATCAACACAAGGCATCTTTTTAGGAAAAACAATTGTGAAAGACCAAACTCAAGGAAAAATGAGAGATTTTACTCCTAATTCTCCAGGGTAGTAGAGCTCTGAAGCCAAAACAATACAATAACGAACTAAATAAGACCTAACAAAAGAAATCTAAGATAATCTCTCCTGAGAAGTACTTTCTTTCACTCCACAGATTTCCACAATTCTGTGGGTACTCGAATTTCTGAGTATAGCATCACTTTTATATTTAAAATCTTCCTCCCCTTTCCAGCTTTAGGATCTTCATGGATTGCTACATTCACTCTTTACCTGGATGAAACATCAGTGCATATAATTCTCCCATTTTCACCTGGTAAAAGGAAAACCTAGGATGGGCATATCACGGCCCTTGATGGAGATCCAGACTCTGCTGAGTGATCATTACCCAGGAAATGTCCATTTAATCTCCTTTCATGAAACTGCATTCCTTCGGTGGCAGTAAAGGAGCCCTGGTGGTGCAATGGTGGGAGGCAGTACAGAGTAATACTTAAGAGCTGGGACTCTTGAATAAAAGAGACTGGATTCACTTCCCAGCTCTGCCACTTCCCATGGGAGACTGGGCAAACTCACTTAACTTCTTTAAGCCTCAGTTTCTCCATTTGTAAAATGGGGATCACAATGATGTCTACCTGATTGGACTATTATAAGAATTAAGCAGGATAATCTGAGTAAAGTATTTAGCGCATTACCTGGCACACAGGATGGAGACTGCAGAAAGGGCTCGATGTTTTCTCTAAGGAAAAAGTTAGGAAGACGTCCTGTGGGGCTGATAAGATTGCTTAGGGAAGCAAAAATCAGGCTTGACTGTGATGGAGACAAGCAGACTAGTTCTGAGGGCTTTTAATTAATTAATTTTTAAAACCACATGTTATGGATTGAATTGTTTCCCCCAAAAATGTGTGTCAACTTGGGTAGGCCATGGTTCCCAGTACTGTGTGACTGTCCACCATTTTGTCACCTGATGTGATTTTCCTACGTGTTGTATCCTACCTTTACGATGCTAATGAGGTGGGATTATCAGCAGTTATGTTAATGAGGCAGGACTCAACCTACAAGATTAGGTTGTGTTTTAAGTCAATCTCTTTCCAGATATAAAAGAGACAGGTGAGCAGACAGACAGACCCCAAAAAAACCTGCTGCCGTCCAACTCATAGCGACTCTACAGGACAGGGTATAACTGCCCCATAGGGTTTCCAAGGAGCACCTGGTGGATTCGAACTGCTGACCTTTTGGTTAGCAGCTGTAGCTCTTAACCACTATGCCACCAGGATTTCCAGGGGCACCTCATACCACCAAGAAAGCAGCACCAGGAGCATATCCTTTGGACCTGAGGTCCCTGTGCTGGAAAGCTCCTAGTCCAGGGGAACACTGATGTCAAGGACCTTCCCTTCTCCAGAGGTGACAAAGAGAGAAAGCCTTCCTCTAGAGCTGAAGCCCTGAATTCATACTTCTAGCTTCCTAGACTGTAAGAATGAATTTCTCTTTGTTAAAGCCCTTCACTTGTGGTATTTCTGTTATAGCAGCACTAGATAACTAAGGCACCACATAAGCCCTAAAATACTGAAACTTGCTTAGAAAGATCACTGACTCCAGAGAAAAAGCAGAGTAATTTAGAACACAAGTTAAAGCAGCGACCGATCAGCTGAACAGAATGAGGTACAGCCACGGTATAGGTAACACGTTCTTCAACTAATTATCACGTACTTTGGACATGTTATCAGGAGGGACCAGTCCCCGGAGAAGGACATTGTCTTACTTATCTAGTGCTGCTATAACAGAAATACCGCAAGTGGATGACTTTAACAAACAGAAATTTATTTTCTCACAGACTGGTAGGCTAAAAGTCCAAATTCAGGGCATCAGCTCCAGGGGAAAGCTTTCTCTGTCAGCCCCAGAGGAAGGTCCTTCTCATCAATCTTCCCCTGGACTAGGTACTTTTTTACACAGGAACCTTGGGTCCAAAGGATGCACACTGCTCCCTGCGCTGCTTTCTTGGTGGTATGAGGGCCCCACACTCTGCTAGCTTCCGTTTCCTTTTATCTCTTGTAAGATAAAAGATGGTGCAGGCCATACCCCAGGGAAAATCCCTTTACATTGGATCAGGGATGTGACCTGAGCAAGGGTGTGATGTCCCACCCTACTCCTCTTTAACATAATCTAATCTTGCCTCATTAACTACAGGCAGAGATCAGAATTTACAACACATAGGAAAATTATATCAATCACAAAATGGAGGACAACTGCACAATGCTAGGAATCCTGGCCTAAACAAGTTGACACCTATTCTGGGGGGACACAATTCAATCCATGACAGACATCATGCCTGGTAAAGTAGGAAGTCAACGAAAAAGAGGAAGACCCTCAACGAGATGGACTGACACAGTGGCTCCAACAATGGGCTCAAGCATAATAATGATTGTGAGGCTGGCACAGGACTGGGCAGTGTTTTGTTCTGCTGTACATAGGGTCGCTATGAGTCAGAACCAACTTGACG